GTGTCGCTGCGCTTGGCTTAGCGCCGAGACACTACCGTGTCTCCAGATTGTGTTCGTGTGAGCCATCGTTTCGGATTAATGTTCGTAAGAGAGAAGAAGATAGAAAGCGCGCGAACGTGTGATGGACGATCGTTGTGCTGCACGCGTCACGGTCAGTGTGAATTCTCACGTTGTCACGGGCAATTGGGTCCATAACCTGTTGCGTATGACGAGGGAAAGACGACCGAGTAACGACACAGATGTTAGGCTGAACGTAAACTCTAAAATTTAAAGCGAAAATGTAAAATGCGTACAGGTACGACCGAACAGTATCTTATGTGAGAACGAAAGGTAACAACAACAATGGCGCGAGAGCGCCGTGCAGTGCAGAGAACGCAGTCTCGAATCGAGTACGACATAGGGATATTAATCGATAGGTCGACCAATATGGAGGCTTTCTCCATACGGCGGAGAATTTTCGATATCTCTAACAAAACTTGATTTTTTCTAAAACAAATAGTGTGAAAATTACCCTCTTAATTATTCTTAATATTTTCACATTACTATTATTATTTCTATTACACTAAAAAGTAATTTTACAAAAAAAAGAGAGATGTATGAACATGTATGGACATATTTCATATGATGATTATACATGTTTATGAATATTTATATATATTTATTTATATATATTTATACATATTCATGCATAAAAAATTTTTTACCGTTTTGAACATTTTTTTACATTCTTCTTTGTATTATTTAAATATTGAATTAATATGGTGGCACATATACATATATATGATCAAATAGTCATTGACTTAATAGTTATTTAGTCATATATTATTAATATTATCATTACATTGATTTTAATGAAAGTTGAATTTAATAAATGATTCTCGCAATGTCATTTAACAAATCTTTGTATTTACAATATTGTGACTTACCGAATAATTTTTACAAAAAAATAAGTCTTCTGTTTGTACATATACATATACTTGTATGTGATTGAAAAATTATTGTGGGTAAAATAAAAGCAAATTCTATAGTAATAAATAAAAATGGCAGCCACACTTGTTTTACCTTAGCGATTTGAATAAAAGCACTCGCAGGTTCAGCATGACCAAGATTGGATTTTACGGAGCCGATCATTAATGGAGTTTCTCTATTTTTATCCAAACTGTTATAAATAGCAGTGACTTCCTGTGGATCGCCAGCTTTGGTACCGGTACCATGTGTTTCAATATAATCCAAGCAAGATGTCGGTATTCCGCATTCATTGTAATATTCCTTTAGTAAAGTATTTTGCATTAGCAAGGATGGATATGTTATTCCTTCTTCTTTATAACCGTCGTTGTTTAATTTTATATGCGGACATATAGCATAAATTCTCTTAGCATTTTTCGCCTTTTGAAGGTATACTATTCCCATTGCTTCGCTACGCGAATAACCGTTTGCATTGGAATCGAAAGGTCTGCAATAGCCTTCAGGTGATAAAGCACCTGCACAATATACAATATTGTAATAATTATATGTATATGTGCATACAAGTATGCATATGATATACACTTTTTAATATATTTCGCATTCTTTTTGTATTCCGCATTATTAAATTCACATTATTAAATTAACTTATATTTAAATAATTAAATAATTATCAGTTTTATTCTGTATAAAGTAATATTTTGTTTTGAAAAATATCATTATTACAAATGTTTTGTAGAGGTTACACAACTCGTTAAAATTTATTTATTTTTTGTGAATGAAGGACATGCAAACCACTAAATTTTACGATTAGCGTAAGTAATTAGTAAATAGACTATAAGTTTTAAGTAAAAATATTAAGAGTAATAAATTAAAATTAATAAATTATAAACCAAGTAAATAAATTATATACCAAGACGAGCGTATTGCAGACTAATAATCGGATGTAAACATAGATTTCCAGCTCCAATTATCGCGTCTTCGCATTTTCCCGACATAATACAATGATAACCAAGGGCAATGGCATAAAGACCGGAACTGCATGCTGTATCGACGGTATAAGATGGTCCTTTTACATCCAAGTAGTACGAAATCATATTTGCCACTGTAGATTTGCTACATCCAACGACTTGAAAATCGTCTAACTATTTGCAAAACATTAGCGTTTTCAATTTTCGCACATGAATTATAAATTTAATAATCTCTACCTACTTTACTTATGCAGGATGAGTCATTAATAATATTAAAGATTATTATTTCTAATACTAAATGAAATGTAAAATTTTTATTTTCTATAATCCGTTTAGTATCGAAAGTAACATTCTGTGATAAAATAGTTTTTTCTAAAATTAGTTTTTTCTAAGTTGAGTAACTTCAAAGATCTGAAGATCATTATCTTTGTTTTTTTCATTGGAATTGTATGATTTTTATGAGTTTAAAAAGAATGAGTTTGTCAATCAACTCTTCTCGTAATTGTACACTTGTTAGTGATTCACCCTGTGAACCTGTACTAATAATTTTCTTTACCTGATAATTCTTATATAGAAATTTCTCTTGTGCTTCAATATAAGATGTGCCTATGATGACAGCAGTGTCTTTTCCTCGTAATTGCTTTGGATTAATTCCTGCATCGATAATTGCTTCATAAGAATGTTCCAGTAACATTCTCCCTTCGGGCATGAGTACGTGTGCTTGCTTGAAGGATAATCCAAAGAAATCGGCATCAAATTTTTCCAAGTTGTTAATTATTCCCATACGCATTGGTAAGTCCAGATGCTCTAATGAAACATAAATGTTTTCACATAAAGATGTTACGTTCCTTTTTCATCATTTTAGATGGAATTTTAGTTTGGAGTACACTTCTTTAACAAATAAGTATCTAATTGCATTTGGTACAGAAGAAGTGACTTATTCTATCTCAAACAATCGTACATAAATGTATGTAAAAATGGATGTAAATATGTGAGAATATAACGTGTAACTATAATTTGAATTTTCACCTTTTTCCCATCGGCCATGATCTGCTCTAACGAGATCAATTTTATTGAATAAGTTTTCTTGTAAATGATTCATGTTGTTCGAACCAGGAAATCTGCCAGCAATACCAGATATAACGATCTCCTCGCCGGAATCAATATCATTCCACGATCTATATGTTTTTTTGCCATCCATGGTTATTATTTTTTCAGATAACCTAAAAAAATGTTATGTGTAGCTTATATGATTTTTCTTTTTACTCATGCTATCAATCATACCTGATTCTGATGTTTATAATATTGCTATAGTATCGTTTGAGTTGCAGATAAGAATGCGTCTAAACTTTTTAATGACAGTCACCTTTTATATAAATTCAAATGACTATTGTAATATTAAAACGTTGACCTCGATTATTAGTAGCCTCGATTATTCTACTAACCCTATAGTTTACTGATTCCGGTCTCCCCTATATTATTCAGGCAGAACAAAAAGTCATTAAAAAAATAGTTACGAAATGACTGTTAAAAGTCAGTTTTGATATTAAAAGGCACAATTCACATCTTAATATACTGTTTTTAATCATTTTGTCCTGTTGTCCTTGTTAAATTTTCATCCTCAATGTTCAAATGTAATATCAATGTAATGTCATGTGTAATGGAAATTTGCTGTTACCTTTATTTATTGTATTGAAAGAAACTAATAGTATATTTGGACCAAGAGTACAAGAAACCTTATTTACACCAATAAATGTTATTGTAAAAGCATCGAAATCCGGTAAAATGACTTTAGATAATTAAATAAATTTCCTCTTATAATACATTTTCAGATACTGTTTTACTATTTAAAAATAAATATAAATTTGCATAAACGAAATAATATAATGAAATTATAAGTCTTATTTCTGTGATACAGTTTATATTTTATTTAAGAATCTCATAGCTGTCATAAAATAATTATTAATTTAACATTTATATTTCTTACAGACCATTTTAAAATGTGGTTAGAAAAAGCTTATTTTCCAAATATTGATTCTAATAGCGTTCTTCTTATCGATTCATGGACTGAACATTGTCCCAATTATATATTATTATTTCAGATTTAACACCTGCAGAAAAACATATTACTACCATGATTATACCGAAAGGCACAACAGGGAAAATACAACCATTAGATGTTTACGGATTTAAAATTTGGAAAAATTTTGCTAAAAGATTTTCAGATACTGTTTTATTATTGGAAAGTAATATAAATTTACATGAACGAAATAATATTATATAATAAAATTACAATCTCTGATACATAATCAATTGTCATCCCCGCGATATCACAACTTATTTAAATATTCGTGGTTTAAAAGTGGTTGTATACAAATGAAAGACCAGAAGAATTTGAAAATCCAGTAAAATTTAGTTTTGACAAAAGTTCAACAATATGTGATATCGAAGGTTGCAGTAATATAGCTGTAATAAAATGTTCATGGTGCAAGAATTATGTTTAAAACATTTTTTCATCGAGTATCATTGTTGTAATGAGTAAACGAAGCAAAATATAAATTTATTGTATTAAACATTTAGAAATTGTTTCATTATTAAGTTAATGTATACGTTTTAAAATTATTACGTAAACGATAAGTAAATAAGATATTAAAGTGTAAAACTAAAAATAACTTTAAGATAGAATAATCTTAAGAGATATTATAAGGAAGTAATGTACAGAGATGAATAAAAAAGTTTTACTCACATTAAGGAGAGAAATAATTATTATTATTATAACTCTTAACATTATTTATAATTTGTAATGTTACAAATATTAATCATATCAATTTCCTTATTTGTTAATTTATGTATTTTATTGTTCCGATGACAATTACTTTCGCATATGAGCATGGATAGCGTATATACGGAAGTGTTAATAATTAATTCTCGAAAATGATATATCGTATTGTAACTTTATTACACATGGTTGAATTTGTAAAAAAATAATCTTTAATTTGGTAAATAAAAAAATTAAAGTTAAAGAAAATTACGGGTGGTGAGGGTATTTTGTTAAATAAAAAATTTAAAAAAATTTTTTTTCTTTATAACTTTAAAGTACTCTTGAAATCGTACAACTTTTATTTAAAAATTTTTTTTCTATTTTTTATACTTCTGACGATATTCGTCTCGAAAAAAAAATTCCGTTTTTTTTTTCAAAGGGGTGTTTCACCTCTTAATGAGTTAGCGCACGTATAAAAAAATACGTGTCTCTTAGATTTTCGCGTTTTACAATATACACTACGCAAAAAAATTAAAGGATTACTTAGTCCACCCCCAAAAATAGGTAAAAATTCAGAAAAGTGTAACTTCGTAAAAAATAATCATAACGAAATTTTTAAAAAAGCATTTTAAGCATGAAATCTGTACTTTCGAAATCGGTAATTGATATTTCGATTTGATTGATTTTTTACGTAGCTGTACGAACAGTACTATATATAGTATAGAGCTGAACGTCAGGCCCGCTAACAGCCGGGCCGCCCGGCGACGCGCTTCCCCACCAACTCTATCGAAGCCTCACGTTGTATGCGTACATACGTACATACATTGTATATTGTCGACTGCTATTTTCGATCGCTTTTAGAGCGTATGTATAGAGAAATTGGTATGGAGAAGTAATATTCATGCTTTTTTTATCGCACTTTTTCTCTTATTTGACAATATTTTCAATTTATTACTTCTTTGACATTTTTGATATTTTTAAGATTTTTACGTTCACAATGCTGCGACATTTAACAGAATTGGAAGTAATGCACTTGGTCACTCTTTTGCAAGAAGGCCACAGCCAACAGTATGTTGCGGATATGATAGGAGTAAGTCAATCCGTTATTAGCCGTATCTATGCTCGCTATGAAGAAACCAGTGAATGTCAGCGACGCTCAGGATCGAAGACGTGTAACTACTCCTAGAGAAGATAGGATTATTGTTCGACACGCCCGTGCAGAACCATTTACTAATGCAAATGTAATTGCTAGCCGTATTCAAAATCGTAGGCAGCAACCTGTGCGTCAGATAAGTGCACAAACTATCAGAAATCGTTTAAGAGATGCTCATTTGCGTTCATATCGTTCTTTGCAAGTACCTATGCTTAATCGTTATCATCGACGTGCTCGTTTAACGTACGCACATCGTCATGTCAGATGGATTCAAAGACAATGGAGCAATGTTCTTTTTACGGACGAATCGAGATTTTCTCTCTATGGGAATGACAGACGGCAACAAGTATGGCGTCGTCGTGGCGAAAGATATCGTCAGAATTGTAACAGACCAATTATAGAATTTTATGGAGGTTCCGTAATGGTCTGGGCAGGTATATCACGAAATTCACGAACACCGTTGGTTGTTATACCACCACCTGGATTGACTGCTAGGAGATATATCAATGAAATTTTGCGTCCATATATCTGTCCAATTCGTGATCAGACAAGAAACAGATTCATCTTAATGCACAATAATGCACGTCCTCACACCGCAAACATTACGTGACAGTTTCTAAGAGAGAACCATATTGCCACCGGTTTTAAGTCATCCTCCAATGAGTCCCGATCTCAATCCAATAGAGCATATTTGGGATATGGTTGGTCGTCAATTACGACGGAATTATCCACAATTAGAAAATTTGGGACAATTAGCGGAAGCGCTCCGTCAAATTTGGCGTACTATCCCGCAGTTCGCAATACGGAGATGTATTAATATGAGACAACCTTTGCAGGACGTTATTGAAAATAGAGATGGCAATACTAGGTTTTAGTCACGTCTCAACATGTACAAATCCACCAGTTTTTGGCTAATGAAAATGCATATACACACACACACACACACACACACACACACACACACACACACACGAGGTGTAAAGTCCGACCGCGTAACCTCCCCGTGGTACACCTCGGGTAATGCTAATACCGGCGGCAACAATACAAATTTTTAGAGAAAAAAAGACCTGAAAATTCATTATTCATTTTATGGTAAATCGTTACACTTCAGTGAAAAAAATTGTAGCGTAATGCTTAAGAAATCATTTTAAGTGGGTAATGTTAAGCTCTACGGTACACTTAAGAAAACATGCAGAAAAAAATTTGTTTTACCCGTGCACACAAATTTATTCTTCATTTTTATAAGGTTTAATTTAAATTAGCGCCATTTG